AACCCTAGTTATTTCTAATTACTCTTGCCTTTTATTTTTAGAAAACATCTAATGCCAATACTCAAGATTTACGAAAATACTCAACTACAAGTGCTACGGGAACTGTCACACCGGAACCACCTTTTCCGTCTTATCCAAACAAATATATTCAAGAAAATGTTCCATTTCAAAATCATAAACAACTCCCCTCACATTATCCTCCTAATATTCAATCTCAGCCAGCATATAACATAAATAACCAGCCAACATCTATTTATAACAATCCTCTTAATAGTACACCAGAGTATGGAAATAATTATATTAATCAAACAAATATACAACGGACTGTACCTCCAACACCACCGCCAGATTCTAGCAGTAGATGTATGACTCCTAGCAGCATTAAGCCAGGTATAAAAAAATTAGTTTCTAAATTATATACTAATCATATTCTAGTTAATACTGAATATTATATTCTAGCTTAATAAATAATAATGACTTCTTATGTAATTTAGTAATTATTTTTTTTTAGTCAAAATAGTTTGATGTGAATTATTAATCTTATAGTATGCAATACATTAAATTGTGTAATATTTAGTTATTAATTATTAAAATATTTTATAGTTTAAGTTWTTTCTAGTTATTTAATATTGTTTTGACATTTTCGGTTAACTAAGATTCTTTTAATCTTCAATCACCTTAATTTTCATAATCTTTATTCACAATATTAAAATATGTATATAACATGTTTATTTATTTATTCCTGTACTTCTTAATTATTAATACTTGTTATATACTTATAAAATATAATAAACTGCAAAGTAAATTTGATGTTTGTTTTATGTCTTGTTATAGGTAAGCCTAAATATGTTGTTGATCCTTCTGTTAAAGGAAATAACACATATGGCAGTTATAACAATGGATTAGGAAATCCAGTTGGACAACAAACTGGTTTTAATACACAAATGAGGCAACCACATAYGTTAAATCAACCATTTATACAACAAAGTGGTTTTAATTCTTCTATGATACAACCACAACCTCAAATATTTAATCAACCATTTGGACAACAAAGTAGTTTTAATTCAACAATTGGACAACAAAGTAATTTTAATCCACCAGTGGGGCATTCAAATACTTTAAATCAACAACTGGGACAACAAAGTGGTTTTAATCCACCAATGGGTCAATCAAATTTTATAAATCAACCATTGGGACCCAATAAACAATTAAATCAACATATGCGGCCAAATATTAATGATCCAGCTTCAGCTCAAATAAATAATTTTAATCAGCTTAAACATGTTGATCAGTTACCTAATTTGAATCAACAACCAACATTTCAACCTATTCAAAGTCATTCAAGCAATTTTTCTCAAGCAATACCTCAATCGCCCAATTTTAATCAGTCATCATTAACTTACAATCAAAGAGCTCCATCGGGTAAATAAATATTTTTTTTTTTATTTAAAGAAATATGGYTTGAACAATTTAGGTTATTAGCCTGACATTTTCTTAAGATTAGTGTTATATTATATTGTATATACAAATTACATTTATTGGATTACAAGGTTACAATTTTTTGATAATATTAATGGTACTTAAAAAAATAAAATAAATATTTATTTAGTTATAAAATACCTTTCTAAATTGTATTTTTAAATTTCCTAGTTGAACCTCTACCAATAAATTACATGAAAAAATCAGTTCCTGCTGGTTGGAATGATCCTCCAATGTTATCAACTTCTGCTCCA